AAATAAAAAGCAAAGGAAATCTGACGGCCACGATCGTGCAATCTTCGAGCAGAAGCGCGAATCATAAATCATGACTCAAGTTTCCTCTGCAATTGCCTACGTCATTCTTGCAGGTTCGTTTGGCACACCGAATATATTTTAAGACTTTTATATTCGTACTATAATTTACGTTATGAAAATTCACTATTGGAAAAAGAACTGTCTAGGATAAAATGCCTAGGAGAAATTTGAATCAATATAAAATACAATTGTACTTTTCTATCAAATTTCATCTCTTTCATACACAATCGATTAATATTAATTAATAAAAATTGATAAGTTTTGTGTGAATATATTTTCTTATCGTAATTTATCTTGATCATACTCTTGCCACTTTTAACTCTGATTTTGATTAGATAAGTTATAAAATTTTTAAAGTATTAGACAGTCACATTATTTTTGACATTTAATAAATAAAAAAAAGATTGAAATAATTTATGTTAAGAAGAATTAAGGAGAAATTTTAGAGCAAAATGTGGTATTGAATTAATTTAAAATACAAATATGTTGTGATCTATTCTACTTTTTATATTTATATATTATAATTTTTTTTTTAAGTTAATCATATGCGCTAAATTATATCAGCACAGACACACACACACATACATCCACAGAGAACGTTTTCTAGAAACTTCCTCAAAAAATAGGCTACGAAATTTTTTCTAGGTATACTTTGCAATCTTTGTCTGGATATCAAACTCACTTGACACAGATCTCATTTCAGGGATGTAATTTCAGCAGTACTTTATTATTAAATAACGAAGTGAAATTACACTGTCAATTCCGCAGCTTTGGAATTTATTATTCGATTAGTCGTTACAAAGTTTTGATCGTTTCAAGCAACAAGAATACTCGCGGCGGAAATAATTTGCTCGCGAGAGTAAGAATTCCGAATATCTTTCTCTCTTTCTCTCAGCCAGCGTTTAGATGTTTCGTCCCGAGATAAATAAGAAGAGAACGCGGGCGCAGATGAGTCAGACGTTTCTCCATAAACTTTCTAATATCGTTTAAGACCTCGCAAAAGATCCTGCGCATCCTTTTACCTACTATTCTGAACGATTTATAGTCGACCAAATAAGCGGTTGTATTTGGCGAATCGAAAAAACGGTAAATAATCGGGGAAACGCCGCTTTACATTTTATCGATGCCCGGTAGGTTAATCGCATGTTAAACGTTTTTCCACCGGTTAATCGTTTGTGCGAAAAGCATGGGTGATGAATGAGCAGAGCGGGGAAAAGTTACAGGCATAATTGCTTGATGGGAACCATGCGGTCACGTGCGCCACTTTATTTATGAGATGCGGAAGAATGAATTCGCGCGTGTATCATTAGTATGAAATATTCGAATAATTATAGCACACAATTAAAGCTGAGAGCAAAATAATTCAACGCATTATTGTGAATAAATTATAATATGTACAGATATTATTCTATTTGACTTTAAATTCAAAATTATATATTCTCCGATATCTCTCTATATGAAATAAATGTTGCACTGTAACTTAATAAATTATATCATCTGGGTCAGCCGTTAATACGTAGATAATACGTAGACTAATAAACGATAAAATCACTACTGAACACGTTCAATTATATATTAGTATAATATTGTATTGCAAGTCTATTGAATTATACAGAATAAATAATTTATATTTAGTTTAATCAAAAATATTGAATTTAAATCGTCAGATTATTTTATGCAAATTTTGAATCAAATCAGTGCAAAATATAAGTCGAATTTATTTAATGGTTTATATATTATCGTTATAAAAATGTTATCTTCAAAATGACATTATGAAGTTTACAAGGGAAATAGTGATGTGGTATGTGACAATAAGAATTTCTTTAGCTGATTTAACTGTTATCGGATCAAGGATTATTACATAATGTAACATGCAATTCTAAGATTTCGTCGAGCTTTTAAGGATTCTTGAATGTTCGACCTTTTTTAAATAAAAAATATACTAGATTAATAAAGTAACACAAAATATTAAAATTGTAGAATAAACTTTTCACACCTAAAAACAAAATCGGCTATTATTCTGATCATTTTATGTACTACTTTCCATTATATAATATAGTATTATAATCATATTAACGGAAATTACGGAATACAAAAATTTATCGGAAATAATTAGTTAAATCTGTAAAAATTGAATTATCTCAATTCTCGTGAAAACAGTTTCTATCAATAAAACCATCTTTATTGAAACGCGCTGCGATTCCAATGGAAAATTCTTACCTGCGAAATACTGCATTAAATCTCCATTTATTTCTTCGACAAATCAAATCCCGAACTAACGAAGAAAAATCAAATTGATTTTATTTCGCACTTTCAAGAGCGAACAGTCAACAGCACTCATTAGAGTTTGTAGAATCGACGCGCACAAATTCACCATCGTAATATTTCATATATTTCAATGAGCAACATTTTGGAAGTAAATTTATTCTCGTGGCAAGAAGGAACGGAAATTAGTTGCACTCGAAAACTGTAAACTCAATTATCGCCAACAAACTCTTTTCTCTCTCTCTCTCTCTCTCTCTCTCTCTCTCTCTCTCTCTCTCTCTCTCTTTCTCTCTTTCTGGATAAATATATCGTATTGCTGTATAAATGTATCGTATTGCTGTGGATTTTTAAATTGGCCAATTAACAATGGGTATGTTACAAAAATCAATATCTTGATTGCGTATCAAATGTTGTAAAACCCATCTTGTTTTTTCGCCATTATATGTTCCACAATAATTAGTCTTTAATCTATACAAATAATGATATACATATAATTTTATAATTGTGATATCTTATGTTAATATTAAAAAAAATATACTTTTATATTCGAAGAGATATATTATAACATATAAAACAATATTATATTTGAAAATAAAAATTATAATATATCATCATACACATTAAAAACATTCATTTTGCAAAAATTTCTATCGATGAAAATCAATATCAGATTTACAATTTGCATTTAAATATCATTGTTACAATGAATGAAGTTTTCATCTACAAATTGCTAAAATTTATAGATTGGAAAAAATCGTATTATTTTTTCTTTTCTTCGATCAATCACAAAATATATAATAAATTTAAGGATATGGAATTAGAAAAATCATTAAAACATAACACATAGTTAAACTAGATTTAACACCTCTGTAATGACAACGTGTTAATATTTAATCTGATATTAATTCAAATGCATTATGCAATTTTCAGCCACCCGAGGCATTTTTTCCATCATGATATAATTATACCTGAACAATGTGATCATGAATCATGTATCAATGATCTCTGATGCAGAATACTCCCACGTTGTGATAATTCACAAATTTCGTTTTACATATATTTGTACTAATGCTCTCTCTATTAACTAACGAACAAAATTTTATCACGGCACAAAAAAAAATTTAAATGTTAACATGGACAAACAAATAAAAAAAAACTAATTGATGAAAAGTGTATTAATCGATATTAAATGTCATTTTACGCTCCAATAAGTTGCTGTCTTCCTCAGCAAATAATTGCATAAATAATAATAAACTATTTTTCCTGATATTTTTACTTAACCAATTCGCAAATATTTATTTCTTTTTGCATAAATAAGAAATTACGAATGACTTTTCTTGCATCGTAAATTACTGATGATATGGTTGCCGTTGCTAAGAGGTCAACATTTGAGAAACATTTCACATCCATGTATTTCGAGAGAATTTTCTTTTATGAATATATATACGCTGTTTAGTTTACGGTTGATCGCCTCAAGCGACTCTACGCCTTATTTTTAACCCTTTAAAGTAACGTCAACCGGCGCGTGTTCGTTCTTATATGAAAATCGAGGGCAATGAATCTGTACTTAGCCACTCGACAATCGTTTCAATTGACACGGACGAACCAGTACTCGAGTAAAAATGAAAATTACGTCGCGATAGTACACGTCAAAACTAGATCAATCAAAATTAACTATTATATAAACTATTCTGTACTCTATTATAAGCAGTCGCAATCATCTTCAAGAGAAAATGCAAAATAATCTATGTAAAATGAAGTTAAAAGAGTCAAGAAAGTCTAACTTTGGATAATGAAATGCTAATTTTAAAGATGTTCAATACAGTTAATCACAGATGTGTATTCCTTAAAAAAAAATTTTTATCGATTAAGAGTAGAGAAAAATAAATTTGGCATCTTCCTTTTTCATAATTAATAGCCTTTTTCCGTAACTTTTTTGCGTGCAGGTACGTAAAAGAAAGAAAGAGGAAAAGAGAGAGAGAGAGAGAGAGAGAGAGAGAGAGAGAGAGAGAGAATGAGAAAACGATTCGAATAACCCTTACATTTTGAAATATTCTCTATCATTGTGTTTTTAATAATGTTATATATGTATATATATACAATATACTGCAGAATTAATCAATTAAATTCAATAATATCGTAATAATACATTTTAATAAATTTCAATGATTCTATTTGATCGTTTTTTTTTGTATCTTTCTTTGTTTGCGAATAAAAAGTGTTTGCTCCAAAAAAAACGTTGATACTTTTGTGATTATTATACGTTATTATAATAGAATATTTATTATTATTATTATTGAAAATATGAAATATTACAAGTTCAAGCAACAAAAAATATATTATATTCGATCATAATAAGACTAATATTCTCTTTGCACTTTTAATTTAATTTTGCATTTAATTTAAAAGAAAAAATAAAGAAAATTAGATAAAAAAGAGATTTTTCCAAAAAGCAAAATTGATGATTATAGCTCGATAAATGATCAGTTATTATAAGATGTCAATATATGATGTATGAAAACGATTTGCACATTGTGACTGATCACGAAAATATAAACGAAATTTGCAATTCAACGCATGTGAAGGGCATGCAATCTTTATGATATCATCGTAAATCCGACATAACTAATATTTCCATAATATTTGAATAATTTCGAAAGATCTATTTTACTTACTACGAGCAGATCTGAACGTCGTTCTGTTATCGAAGACAGCAGCAACGACTCCGCATTATCGTCTTCGCGTACTTCTACTTCTATGTCCGTTTCTCTATTGCACTCCTCCACGACGAGATGTTTGAAGTTAGCGGCCGGTTAGCGGTCACTCGCGCGTTCTACAACCTTCGTCCTTTTCCCGCGCACCGGTTCTCTATTCCCTTTCTTTATCCTTCTTGCGCACGATCGCGCGATTTGCACTACACCCGCGGGGCACAACACACGGTACCCATGACGACGTTCTCTCTTAGCACTTACGATTATGCGTATAGTAATTATTAGCTCATTCGACACCACGATTTTTGAAGTGAATTTGCTTCTATTATTGATGGACCAAATGCGCGTGATATTAAAAATGGAGACAAGGAAGCACGCGTAGTTTTGCTCCGACTTGACGCCAAGTGCGCGCGAATGATGAAAACCAACCCTACTCAATGACAGTCGGCGCGCTACTGACGCTCCGCGAATGTATAGCCGTTATAGCGACGGCGCACACTTTAAGCCTCCGAGACAATCGCGCGCATGCGCTGGATACATGCGCCGCGCGCATACGCCGTCGCAGTAAAAGGCGAAAACGCGCGATCCGCGTTCCTGCGGTTTGCGAGTGGAAGATTTGGTCAGAAAATAATGTCGCTGTTTGTCGAGCCATTCATCTTTCATCAGTAAGTGATATTTACTTCGTTCATCGCGTAAGTTATGTGCGAATAAGAGAAATAATATTAAGATAAACCCGCGGAGATTGTGAATGATACACGATCGAAAATGTCTGATAAAATGTGACATTTAAGACGTATGTTAGTCTTCGAGATACGTCTTCTTATTTATATGGCTGACAACACATGTGAGAATAATGAAACAACAGAATGATTAAAGTCCACATAAAAAAGTAACATATATATATTTAAATTTCTTCAATTTTTATATGTGTATATACATATACATATAAGTAATATATTTTATAAAGTTCTTAAATAGACGCAACTTTTTGTTTGAAAACTTTAGATTTAGCGCTTACAAAACTTTTGTATTTCAAATATCCAATTGATTTTTGCAATAACTTTAAAGAGAATTACAATTTTCATCATAACTAATAAAACTCGGAACATAATATCTATACTACTTGCTAGATCGATTTGGAAAGAAGATATTATTGGCTGTTATCGGCTGCTCGGATTACGTATTCGCGCATACAAATTTATGCCGTGAATGGAATTCTAGTAGTAAAAGGCGGAAATTCAAGGCGAGATTATAATGTCATGAATACAGCGCACAACGCAATATCTATTGTTCTTCAGATTTTCCTGAATAACTGCCTTTGAATGTGCCAATGCTATAGATTACGTTTAAGCACAGAGAAAAAAAGAGAGAAAGAGAAATAATCGAGAAAGATATTCATATATCGTTAGAGACTCGAAATAGTTTATTAAAATTTAATACAGTAAATTTTTATTATTATTAAAATGTGTGTTTGATTAGTGATCCATATTTAAATAACATAAATTGACTAAGGGAAAAAAACAAGGAAACAAATTATTTTTATAGCACAAATGTATATGTCGAGAACAGTAATATAGTACGTGGTATTTATGTTATTTTTGAATTAAAATACTGTCAGAATATGATCGATGCGCTATGCACATATATGTTTTATAATTTGCACACATTTTTTCTTGAATTACTCGAAAAGACAAATTGATAAAAGACAGAATCGTTATTTATCATCTTTGAATAAAATTTTGACGTTTGTTGAAAAGACATGGTGAAACTTAGTCTCATATATTACAAAGTATTTTTCCGCAGGCACAGATGGTAATTATTCGCGGTAATTATACACACATATACATATGTATGTGGATATACCGGGAAAAAATACAAAAGTTATCAGTGTGATGTATATTGTTATGCTTTTCGTTACGTGCTTTGCCTTTGAAAATTGTACGTACGGCACCGGAAACCAAGTAAGCATAGTAACACTAGTAATCGTTCTTATTGCTGTTTTTGAGTTAGATAATTGCTGGACAAAAGTCACTACTCAATTGTTATATTAGTTTTGATTGTTGAATTACTTTAATAAAGAATAATTTTTATAATAGAATATGTGTGTATCTCACATTAAACGTGAATAAATTTTAAAACCTTCTTGATCAAATTCCTGATAATATATAATAGTAAAATGCGTAAATAATATTTTAAAAACTTAACAAATGTATTATATAAAACTCGACCAATAATGTAATTTAAAGACTTATTATATTAAATGTCGAGCAATTATCTAAAAACAAAAACTTATAAATTCAAAAGAGTCAAAAAGAAATTTTCTGAATTTTTGTTCAACCTATGCTTTCAATTTTTTACGAAATTCTGTACAAATTCCGTCAACTGCGTTTTACGCGAAGGCGATATGCAAGACCATTGTGATTTTTATTTTTTGCGTAAATCACTTTGCTTTGACGTCCACATGACGGCACAGGAGAATGCACTTTTTTTCGCGCGTCTGTTACGTACATATGGCTTTATCGCACGTGCGCGCGATAAAATGCAAAAATTCGCTGTGCATTCATTGCAGCGCATGACTTCCTGGTTATGAGTTATACCCGAAAATCATATTCCCTTGCTTACGATAGTCCCCTGACGGATGCTCATTTATTTAGAACTTTATTTAAAACTTTTTTATTATCTCGCGCCAATGCTAGTAGTTCGCCCCATTATTGTTATTATACATATATGTCGAGAAACTTTCCACATGGCTATATAACTAAATATACAATTGAGAAGCGTAGCGCGGACGTGGCGAAAAAATTTACGAGCGACCTTAATTCTCTAGATATGATCACGTTTACACCATTAAAACTTTCCTCTTAAGGTTATTGTACAGCAACAAAAAGTTTAATGGCTCTCTTCTGCGCGTGAATTGATTAGTTTTATGGAGAAAATTCTCGCTATATTTATTATGCAACATGTTTCAAAAATTAAATCAAATATTTTGATATAACGAATGTTATATGAGCCACTTAAAATTGCTAACTTTCTATGAATAAAACTGGCGACTATAACGCAATCGATTTCTCACAATCAATTTCTATGTCAGTGAGCATGAAAAATGTAACTCGACCGATTACAATCTCAATGTGCGCGTGTCACATTTTTATATGGTTTATAAGATTGCTACAAGCTATAATCATGATTGTTGCAAGATGATGATAAAAATAAGAGTTTCGCAGTATTATCTTTTTTAACAGATCCGAAAAAACAAGCCGTTGCTCAAAGTTGTATTTGCCAGTTTATATGTTAAAAGAACAAAAACATTTAAGCATGACGGCTAATAGAAGAATAATTCCTTCACTTAATGATCCACGGATATGCGCGGTTTGAGTCCTTGCACGCATAATTCGATCAATAGATCATGTTAAGTGAATCGTGAAGCGAGTTGTTTGATGAACATGCTTGACGAGCATCGACGAGCGAATTGTCAGTTCATTACGCAATCTCGTTACTTGATTTATGTAGATAAAATCGATAACTCATATGAGTCATGCTTACACTCCGCAGGTGTACATTTAAGAGATTCCACAAATCAATCACAAGAAGAAAAAAATGACATATGTCTATTCATATTGCGTAATATAAAATTATCTTCCGCGTGCCAATTTTTTTTAAATTTTTTAAATATTAATTTACATTATTCAAATCAACTTAAATTACTGTCTTAAATATGTATTAGTAATTCTGGACGCTGCTTTATAATAGACATATCTGTTTTTATAGATCAACCTTGTATACTACAATTCCGTTGTTGCGCATCGAACCGGTGAGTATTAATAAATTATTTTTTATTTTAATCTTGCGATTAATATGATATAATGGGCTTGCAAAAATTATGTCAGAAATATACATAGAAGATGTATATAAAAAAGAGAAGAAAGAAAGCTTTCAGTAGTAAAAATTTGCACATACAAAAATTCTCTGATGGTTGTTTTTATATCTTGCATTAAAAAAAGGCAAATACTACGGTTTTTAAGATTTCCATATGGAAAAAATAATTTGCTGAAAACTCTAAAAGCTTTCATTTAATTTGAAATATTCGCGCACATTTAAAAGTCTGAAAAATTCATGACCAATCCCTTTACCTTTCACGCAAAAAAAATTTGTTAAAAAATTTTATTTTGCATTTATATCACAAAGGATGAGAATTAAATTAATTAAATAACTGTTATATTTGATTATCATTTTCTAATCACTAGAGAATATATTAAAAAATGCAATAATAATTTTCATATTTGACACAAGACATTGATTTTTCGTAGAAATTTTAGTATCTTGTTGTTTCTTGGTGTTTTGTTGTTTATTTACCTTGAGTTTTTTTATCGTAATCTATATATGTTTAACATGCATGTATGGCGACTTCTACAGGTCCTCGCTTTTTAATTATTAGCGGATTTAAAATTTTCGTCTCGAGCTTCAATAAGGTATGAAACTTGTAAATCCAATTTCCCGGATTACAACTCGAGTTAGGAATTTCCGTTGTTGGAAAGCTGGATTGGTCGAGTTTGATTTAACTCTAGCAAAGCGTATTTCAGACAAAATGTATTTTGTTCTATTCTCGAGGGATCTTTAAAGTTAATATCAGGATATCGCGTGCACGCTAGGGCCACAGGTGGTGCATCGATGCAGGTTAAACGGTGCGGAATAATTAACTACCTTTACTAGACTTTACAATTCAATTAATTGATTATCATTCGCGCATCAAGACGCACATAACTAAATGTATCAATAAAAAGCAAAAGATTACGGACAAAGAATTTGTTATATATAAATCCAATAGATTTATACTAATTTGAACGAGACATGAAATATATAATTATTTATTAATTATTGCATTTTCACTTTGGTTGCATTTTTTAAATTAATATTAATAAACGTGTTGGAAACATACATTAATTATATAAGTGATGCATGCCGATCGATATTATAAATAAAGTAGATCACACGCCCCTCGTTGAATTATCGGTGACACCGACCGATGAAACTTTCCTCGATATGTCGCAGCTTAACGTATTCGTGTTTGATGTCACATCGGCATACATACAAAATAGTAATTTTGCAATAGTAATTCATGCGTGCATTCTATAACCGGAAGAGGAACAAATAAATATTAAATTAAACATATTTTTAAAATAGCATGTATACAATATAAATAAGTTTTACAAAGTATGATATGTTTACAATACAGAAAATTATTAGCTATGTTTTTTTATTAAAATTGAAATACTACTCACTCAATTTTATACTAGAAAGTAAGCGAAAGTTGTATCAAAACAGGACTTGCTCTAAATCAAAAGTGTTACAACTTTTATGTTAATCGAATGCATTTATTTGTATTTATCATGCATGCAATTATGTATTTAAAAATATATCGTTCGCATGCATCACATTCTCTGCTCACAAAAATCACGTCCTATTTAATCGCTGGCGACGAACGAGACCAAGGTTTTTCAACAAATCGCAAGGCTTTGCCGGTTCTGACATTAAAGAGACGGAGGTTAATATGAGAGGATTTCCTTGACATACGAGTAAGTCATCAGTACTGACCGCTATTGTTCAAAATCCTTGTGCTAATTCTACAATTATCTTAATGTATTAATTGTTTTAAATGAGATGACTGAAATTGAGCTAAAATAAACTATAACTTTGATTTAAAACATTATTTCTGCTCTGCATAGTATAATGAAAATTTGATTAGTATAAACTTTTGATCTGATTAAAGAATAATTAATTAAATATAAATTCATTTTTTTCTTTCTCTCTCTTTTTCTTCTTATAAATTTAATTTTCATGAGAAATTAATATTTTACAATATATCTTTATTATCACAATTTATTTTGCATCATTATTGTTATCTTACAAAAGTACAGGTTTATTTTAATATTTTAAATATATAATTTTAAATTTTGCATAAGATTTGAATTTTCTAAATTATTTTTTAATCCGAATGGTTTTATTATTTCGAAAATTCCTTATTAGAAATACACTTACAAATAGAAATACACTTCCTACATTCAAGTACATTTTACAAAGACGTGCATCGCGCTTTTATTTTCCCGTTTTGACGCTAAATAGCGTTCAAGATCGAATCAAAGCCACTAATTTTGCGACGAAGGAGCAACTGGCACGAATCAAGTTGCAATATAGGGTTACGGAATTACATGGCAAGGTTATCGCCCGGTTCGTCCTTAATAAGGTTAATAGAGGACGCCGAGGCGGCTGAGCATTTTCCTTGACACGGACGGTTCGTGTCTTAATCGAGTTACAGTTTTTAACGACAGCGCGAAAATCTACTTACTTTTCCGGAGCTTCGGATACTTTGATAGAAAAAAAAAAAACATAAAATGTTATATACCTGTCTTTTAAGTGCATTTCGACGGCACGGCGATTGTTACTTGTAGTTACTTCAAGAATTCACTCAGCTAAATTAAGAACAGGTAAAGCAGATCTTTTGTATTTAAAGAATATATATATGATATACAAATTTTTATCGATTATGTAACGTTTTAAAATATTCTTAAAGCGATTTCGACTACTTTTATTTTTGGCAGATATTAAAAAAAAATATATAAGACGCAAGAATAATAAAAGAAATTAATTTTGCATACATATGTCTGAAAAAATATATTTATAAAGTAGATATCTGAACATTTGATTGTGTTTCTGGAATGCAACAGAGAGAAAGAGAGAGAGAGAGAGAAAGAAAGAACATACACATAAGAATTATTATAAAAGTATGTTAGATATTATATTATTATTAATGCACGCTCACTCGAAGAAAAAGGTAAATATTAAAATATTCATTGCCACACAGTTGGATTTACGTCATTTATCGCATGATTTCAACTGTTGTTAATATCTGCTGTCCGATAAACGACATGACATGGACATGGACTGTGTAGAGAAATTCGATACTTCCAGTCCAGACACACATGATGTTTATTTTCACTAAACTTGTAATTTATCCCGGGGGCGTATCGTCCTCCTGAAATGTCAAGCATACCCGTCATACAGCTCAAAAATACGCCGGCTAACATGCACGTCACGAATGTCATTCAGATTGTGGTGAATTGACAACGTTGTTATCAAATAGATATAAATAAATTAGTTACGCGGAAAAATGTGAAAAAATTGATACGCTGAAATCAATAAATAATTTAATTATTAGGCAAAAAGTATTTGGCAATAATTAAATCCCTTCTAAAAACGAATTAGATATATAAAACGATTTAATAATACCATAAAACAGCAGAATGATTTTAGAATACTCGCCAACAGAGAGATAGCACAATAATGTCGAATTATAAAACTCGCGAATAATAGAAAAAACGTGTTTCTATTTTCTCTTTTTACAAACGCATGAGCAATTTTCGTCAATATGTACCATTGTACGAATGTACAATCGGTAACCAAATGTGCATGCACTCGGAATGAAATACAAACAAATACTCGCAGTGCGTAAACTTGTTACAGAGATTTTTTCGAATTTTTCGAAAGCGCGATCTTTTTTTACACAACCAAATATTTGTCGATTGCGACACGAACGCTGATGCATTTCTTCTAATCAATCTTGGGAAGAGACGCTTAATTTTGATTGCGCATGAATATGAGATACGGCATTCTAATTTCGTAATTAATTATTTTCCTCTATTACTTTTACTTTATATGATTGTCAACATATAAATTAAATGTTAGTGAAATATGAGCAATCATATTCTTAGTTCTTAGTTTAGTTCAGAGTTTGTTGAGTGCAACAACATTATAATTATAATTAATAGTTAGTAACTAATTTTTCTTTTAATTATGTTGCCATTCTTATTATAGTATAATATAATATTCATTATTTTATTCCATAATAAAATTTTATTCCTCTATAGAATATGGGAAACGATTTTTTAAGTCTGGAAAAATATCGGAGAACGAATGCGGACAAGGGAAAGTGAAATGCATTGTAGTGCGGGATGGTGATTCATGCGCGATTTCCGCACTGACGACTTTAGAGACTAGAAGAATTGCGCCATTTAACCGTTCAAAAGCAAGCGGAACAAAATATCAAAAAAGCGCATAAGAGTTCAGAATGTACAATCGCTAACCAAATGTGCATGCACTCGGAATGAATTACAAACAAATACTCGCAGTGCGTAAACTTGTTACAGAGATTTTTTCGAATTTTTCGAAAGCGCGATCTTTTTTTACACAACCAAATATTTGTCGATTGCGACACGAACGCTGATGCATTTCTTCTAATCAATCTTGGGAAGAGACGCTTAATTTTGATTGCGCATGAATATGAGATACGGCATTCTAATTTCGTAATTAATTATTTTCCTCTATTACTTTTACTTTATATGATTGTCAACATATAAATTAAATGTTAGTGAAATATGAGCAATCATATTCTTAGTTCTTAGTTTAGTTCAGAGTTTGTTGAGTGCAACAACATTATAATTATAATTAATAGTTAGTAACTAATTTTTCTTTTAATTATGTTGCCATTCTTATTATAGTATAATATAATATTCATTATTTTATTCCATAATAAAATTTTATTCCTCTATAGAATATGGGAAACGATTTTTTAAGTCTGGAAAAATATCGGAGAACGAATGCGGACAAGGGAAAGTGAAATGCATTGTAGTGCGGGATGGTGATTCATGCGCGATTTCCGCACTGACGACTTTAGAGACTAGAAGAATTGCGCCATTTAACCGTTCAAAAGCAAGCGGAACAAAATATCAAAAAAGCGCATAAGAGTTCAGCGCAAATATAGAACAACTAATTTTCCGTTTTATTCCTTTCATTACAAAATTTTAATTGAATTTAAATTTATTAATATTATTTTTAGTATCACGTAAATAAAAAGAAAGTTTAATAAATTATTTCTCAAATTATGTAAAACTGTTAACAGAAAATATTAATTAAAATTCCAAAAAATAAAACACGTCAATTAATTATTATGAACGGCCGGCTTTTAATTAATTACGGTTGGCTCCGAAATTGTAAAGTTAAATTGATAGAACCTTTAAAGAGAATATCGTTGTGATGTTTAGTAATATATGTCAAATTTTGTTTTTTAAACTGTCGTAATATCTGACATCAAAGCGGCAAGTAAAATGCTTAAAACATTGAACAGTCTACTATAGTTTCCTCGGCGGAAATCGATTGAGGTTGTTCACCTTTCCTACTTATACTAGCATGCACGTATCTAGTGTTCGTTGGAAATATACCCGACTAAATATTTTATTCTTACATCGACATTGTCAACCATACAAATGTGTCATGCGGATCGATCGACACTAGACACATGTGCAAAATTTGTTTGTTGAGAGAGAAATAATATATCAAATTAAAATAATTTATATTTTAAATGTATAGTTTAAATATAATAATTTAGATTTAAAAATATAAAACATTTTGTTAAAAAGTAAATAACATTATACAAATTAATATGTTCATATTTCGATATTTTGTTTCGTAAAATCTAAAATCACTGTTATTTAATTTCGTACATTTTTTATTTGCCTTCTGCTGCATACTGGCTAATATGTTAGCAAGTTGGAGAATTAAAATACAAATTAGATTAAATTTTAATTATGCTGCATTCAATCTCAAAAATATATAATTATAATATATATTACAGAGAAAAATATATATATGCTACAGAGAAAAAGAGGTTACTCTCTTTTATAATGAATTAAAGCGTATTAATACTTCATGTGATGTTTAGAAAATTATTATTTATATTACTCTTGGAAATGATTATACTTGTGTAGAAAGGTTTTAATAAATTAATCATAATTATATTAATTGACATGTAATTAAATATCTTTTTCAAAAATATTGCGTAAATACCTTAAAGTTACTTAATATAAGAATTAGATTTTTATAACAAATTAAAAAATTTTATAGTAAATTTAATTTATTTTAATTCATAAAACATAAT